GAGTATAACTTCCTTGATTCAAGCTGGGAAGAGGTCCCACTATTGCCTGTATGTGTCAGTAGAGATCTGGTGGCCTGGGAATCATATTGAAATTGATCACCTATTCAGGGTTGGAAGAAAGTTTCACATCCTTTCATCCCATCTGAATAAATCACAACTTGGGGCCCAGAGTTGAAATGCTAACATCCAATCCACTGCTGCAGCACATATCCTGTTAATATTGGAAAACCTAATCTTGAAGCACTAGGCTCAGTGAACTGATCACCCCCATCCTCACCTGGCTGCCCGTCCCCCAGAGGATGGAGTTTAAAATCTATGTCTTCGCCTTTTAAAGCCTTCCAAATCTTACTCCTCCATACCTCTGTGACCTCCTTAAACCCTATCAAATTCTCTGCTTGGTGGCACTGGCCTGCTCCACAACCCCTGCCCGCTCCACCATCAGAGGTTGGGCCTTTAGCCTTTCTGCACCCACTCTCTGGAACTCCATCCCAGGGCCCCTCCACTTTCTTCAAGGCACGTATCAAGACCTTCCTCTTCAACTGCAGCTTTGGTCATCTTCCCACTACCATCTTCCTTACCCTCCACCACTCTCGACTCCAGCTCGCAGCTCAGGTCCAAACCCTTGACTATCCAGCTCCTTGGGACGTCTTCCCTCCTGACATGAAATGCACTATATAAATGCAATTTATTGTTGTTGAAGCATTATTTCACCAGCCCTTTGTGCTGGAAGATTTAATGTTCACCAAGAATATCCCTCTTATGAGCAGTGGCCCCCTTTCATCCTTAGCACATCCTGATATTTCAATGTAAGCACAAGGATGGAGTTTGCCATAGTTATGTTCTGGAAGACTTAAGCACATAACTCAATGTTGTAATTGGAAAAATTCACTGCTTTTCTTGCTTTGAAGCTCAGCTATTTCAGATCTTCCAATGAATATTTCTCCTAGTTTATAAAAGTAATGGAATTTCAGAGCTCTTTAATCGATATCTATCTGATGCATTATAAATAACCCATCACTTTGCTAAATGAACCACATCACGGGCGGGATGGTGAATGGTAAGACTTTGGTTCGATTAAACAAAATTCTGAGGACTCTGTTGGCATTGAAAGTTGAGTCTATTATGCAATATTCTAAGTGGAATAGTAATCCTTCTAGGAGCAAAGCTGAAACTTGTGCACAATAAATTGCAGTCATTCAGCAAGGGCCAAACAGTATTTCTTTAGCAATCTTGCAAATGCAGTAAAGGACATCTTGTTACCAACTTTCGGTTAAGAAGTGGGAGTTACAGACAGGTATCCAGCCTAACCCTACTGTGTTCAGATCTATACCATTGAGCAGCAGGTTGGCAATGATATGATGATATTTATTTTTCAGCTAGCAATGACCACAATGAAGGACTTTGGAGACTGCATTAACGCCTGTGATTTTAAAAACAAAGTTCTGAACAATTTTTTTTATCAAGTGTAGCATATGCTAATAAGATAAACTCCTATTTAAAACAATACTTTTGGCTTAATTTTTTGTCGCACGCAAGAGATAGGCACAATATCATCTGAGATGGGCAGAAAGAGATCTTCCCAAAAAGCCATGTGTCTGGAACAGGTGGTCAGGAGGTTGCAACAGAACCATGAAAATTGTAGAGCACAGAACGGGGTGTTTGCTAACTCACTCATGTGAAGCAATCTTCTAATCCCATCATCATACTTCTTCCCCCCCCACCCGCCCTGTTCCCTTTCAATATTTTACAAATTCCTTTTTAAATGTTGTTAGGACATATTTTGTGAAGAATTTAAAATGATATACTATATCATTGGATATAGTAAATTTAAAATAACTGAGCATCTCTCTCTCTATATATATATATGTCTATTATATAAGATAATAGTAAATTATCTTGGTGTATATATAATAAAGTGGATACTCAATCCACGACTGTTTGTGGGACACTGGCTGCTTTGTTTCGCCCACAAAATACAGTCAATCCACTTTACAATATATTTTACGAAGCGCTTTGAGACGCCATAAGACGCTGTATCAAATGCAAAGATTATTATTGTATCTGACATCTATTTCCTCACCTGATAAATGTAGTCAGGTGGGTTGAGCTTCTTTGGGACCCATTCAGTATTTACGCATGGGAACAAACTGACATCACTTTGTAATATCTTAGAATGTTGCTTATTTTATTTCTTTAATTTCCAAGATTCATTTTTTTCAATACTGGATTTAAAGCAAATTCAAGTTAACTCTCCAGGATTCATCTCTCACTTATTTGAAGGGCAGCAAATAAATAATTTACAAATGCAATCTTTTCCTAAAAAAACTTTCCTTTTTCTTTTATGTCTGGAATCTGTCAATTCCAAGATTCAAACTAAAATGCTTTTGTTACTTGCATTCTAAGCCCCGAACTGTCTGAACTTATTAAACCACATGGCATGGGGGAAAGAGGAGAGATAAGTGCAGTTGGAAGCTTAAACCTAGTAGTATTCACTCTATTTATCTTTGTTTTGGGTCCCAATTGAATTTTACAATGGAATTTTAAAAAATAAATCGAAAATTCAAAAATGAACCCTAAAAATGCTGTTGAAATGTATTAAGTTAAAATGTTTCTGGGAAATTAACTAAATTAGTCAAAGAAACGATCGTTTAAAACTTCAAGAAAATAATAGGTAAACAAAGGAATCTTTTGTACTCTTTGTACAAACATAGTATAGCGCTTGTTGGAAGAGCGAGTTAAATGTAATTACATAATAAGGGAAAAAAAAAGACTTTTTTAAAAGCCCCACATCATAATTATTTTTTTTTAAATCAGCAATGGAACAATTGAGATGGGTGGAATGGGTTCGTTCTGTGCTAAAAGTTTGCCCACAAAATATACAGTCAATTCACTTCACAGTATATGCTGTGAAGTATTATGAGATGTCTTGAAGATGTGATAAGGCGCTATATCAAATACAAGGATTATTATTATCTCCAGTGTGTGATAAACTTTGAAGGGTCCTTCCTTCATGGCAATAACATCAAATAGACTCATGAACTCTGAGCCACAGATAATAATAATTTATTTATTCTTATAATACTTGCAGTTAATATAACATTGGATATCCTTGCACATTTACTGGTAACTCACGCTAGAAGTGTTACCTGCTCCCCACGGACAGAAACCAGGATAAACCAAATTAATTGAACTCCAGCCAGGTGATATTTTCCTGGTGACGTTTTAAATGAGCCTTTATTTTAAGTCATTCTGAGGAATGTATAAAACAATCTCCCCAGAACTCGTTCGATTTCCGAATACGTTGAAAACTCAACAGGTTCATTTGATATTTGTTGTTGCGTTGACTCTACTATTGGGGTAGGTAAGGCTTGGGCACGTTTGTTAGAACCAAAGGGGTAGCAGAGCAAATGACTGCTGGCCATTGGCTTCTGGTTACAGTTGAAGTGCATTAATTTCTTTCAATTAGGAAACATTCTTACTCCTTCCTGTTTCTATGTACATTTTGGGCTTTTTTTTTAATAAAAACTGAATTTTATTCAGGGGAATGTGCTGAATATAACGTGGGTGGATTATAGTTTGACTGTAGTTTATCTTAATCATTTTGTTTCCTCTCTGATGCGCCCGTATAAGTAACTTAGCTATTTGGTCTCTTCATTCACAGTCGCTGGGTGTGGTTTAAAAATGCTTCAGGGAAAAAAAAAGAATGCTTTTCACCTGCTTGCTCTGCAGAAATAGCTTCCCACAGTTATTTCTTAATCTTTCTCTGAAACTCTGATGCTTTTTGTGTCTTGTAATGACTCACAACACAGGACAGTGGATTATATTCTGAGTTACATTTGTCAAGATTTTTTAAAATAATAAATAAACAATAACATACCATCACTTGCCAATTTTTTGGCCTGTTCCAACTCTTTTGACTTTTCATTGCTAATGACACGAAATGTACAGGACCAAAGCAGGGTTATCTCTCTCTGAGATTTGGATGAAATATTTACTCACCCGCAGGAAATGACTGGCCGGGCTCTGGTTAGCTCGGAGTCAAGCATATACAGTCTTATATGTGCTGAACACAAGATGCAGAACAAGACACACAAAAATAGTGACATGTGTGACAAGGTCCAGCTCAAGATTATGAGCCAGTCAGTCACTCAACACTTTTTCTCGCAACATAAAATTTTGGAATATAAAAGTACCTAAGTTGCAATAACAATAATCCTTGCATTTGATTTAGCTCCTTACCACATCTTCGAGATGTCTCAAAGCACTTCACAGAATATACTGTAAACTGAATTTGACTGCATATTGTGTGGGTGACATTTTATTACTATTTTATTATAAATGTATCCAATTATATTGGATATCCTTTTTCGCCCACAAAATATATTCAATTCGCTTTACAGTATATTTTGTGAAGCGCTTTGAGACTTCTCAACGACGTGATAAGGCACCAAATTGCGAGGATTATTATTTATCATTATATAAATGTACTTCACACTTAAATCCAGTCTCGCAAGATGTAAAGCAAATGATGGGAGTATTGAGGCGCAGGTATCTAGAAGATTTTTTTTAAAAAAAGTTTTATTCCGTATTTATATAAAAAAGACCGTTTTAAAGAAAAAGACACGAGTCGAGCGTACCAACCAGTATGAAGTATATTACGCGTAGCCAATGCGGTACCTTGCAAGTATTTACAGTGCAGAAACTTTTCCGTGGATTAAAAAAAAATCTTAAAAAAGTTTTTCTTGTTGTTGTTCTTGTTGCTGTTGATCATTACTGTTTCAGTCGGGCTGGGGCGCTCTCATTAAATAAACAAATATATATATTTTTTGGAAGGGGGGATGGAAAATGTACAGATTTACAGGTTGGGTCGGTGGTCCTTTAGTCCTTTAATAAACCAGGTGCAGAGGCCACTTTGGGGAGTGGGTGACCACTTTGGGGAGTGGGTGACCACTTTGGGGAGTGGGTGGGTGGATGGGTGGGGGGTGGGTGGGGGGGGGCTTTGTGGTGGTTTACTATCTGCACCCACATTCCGCCACCACCATGTCCTCGTATTTGTACTTGTAAGTCACGACGCCCGCCGAGTCCCGGTACAGGACCGAGATGGGATCGAGTTTGGTGGGGACGCAACAAGCTCGGGAGGCTTTCTTGGGGTTGGAGCGGTTGACCAGAGTCTGGATGATGGCGTGTTTGGTGGGCGTGACGTGGTTCGTCAGGGGGAAGTAACACACACCTTTGCACTCGTACGCCTCGTAGTCCTTCGGGGCGATGATCCACGAGTCCCAGCGGATCTCGGTGAAGTCCACGTGGAGGGGCACTCGCTTGCAGTAGTTGCTCTCGGCGTTCCTGCGGGTCCTCGACGTGGAGTCGTCGGGCAGCATGTTGGCCTGAGCTTGGATCAGGTCCTCGTCGCGCCCCCCCCGGACGCTCGACCGCTCGACCAGCTCCTCCAGCACCAGCTCCTGCTCGTGGAAGATCATCTCCTTGACCTCGCCGCTCGCCTCCCTCCGGCCGCGCTTCCGATCGTCCGAGAAGACCACCAGCAGAGGCACGTTTCTGCTCTCGGGGTTCGGCCCCAGACCCAGACCCAGCGCCCCCACTTGCCGAGATCCCCCCTCGACGCTCTCGATGTGGACCTCCAACGCGTGGGTCGTGGTGTAGGATTTCGCCCAACGCCTGATGGCCTCGGTCACGTCGAAGGCTTCCCAGCCACTGTCTTGGCCGCCGATGCGCTTGGACACCAGGATGGACAGCCGGGCTCCCCCGGGCTCCGCACCCTCCACCCCCTCGTCGGCTTCGTACACCGCGACTTTCCTATCGACGCCCTCGTACAGCCGCCTGTCCCTCTCCACGTAGGTGGAGAGCCTGAGTTCGGCCATCACGACCTCCTCGTGATGGGGCACCGAGACGTTGAAGAGGAGGGTGTGTTTCCGCACTTTGCTCTCCGCCTCGGGCAACGCGGGGGCTGCGGCGTCTGCAAAGAAAAGTTGACCAAAGTTAGGGCTACTCTCTCTCTCTCTCTCTGTGTGTGTGTATATAAAAAAAAGGAGTAAAATTGGAAATCCCATTTTTTTTTTTACCGAGAGGGCCAAGTGAGCTCTCCCTCCTCCTGTCCCGTCCTGTCCCGTCCTGTCCACCACCCCTGACGTTTCGTTACGGTGCAACTCTTTTATTAATTCACGGTTCGATAGACCTTTCGGGGTCTCTCCAGGAGTCGGACTCGAAGCCTCTGACATCTCAAGCCCCCGATGGAAGAAGTTCAAAAAAAAATCTGGACCAGGTGGACTGAGGTGATCCACAAATCCCAAAGTGACTCACTAAACGTGTGGGTGTGGGGTGTGGTGATGGTTAGATATACCCACACAAAAAGGTAGTGGGGCCAACCTCTCCCGACGCATCTCAGTCGCGGCAAAACGCGCACCACTCACTCACTCACTCACTCACCTTCGTTCACGAAGCTCCTCACGATGTTGGAGGACGGCGCGGAGGAGCGGTCGGCGGCGAACCTGTTGTACAGGTCGATCATGAACTGGGGCGGGTCCGCCCGGACCGGGTCCTCGTGCGCGGGGCCGCCCGACGGCGTCGGACCCCGCGGGGCTCCGCGCTCGGGGGCGCCGAAGCCGCCCTCTCCCTCCCAGGCGTCCCCGTCCGCGTAGCCGTCCAAGGCGTCGCCGCCGACCCGGGGCGGCCGTTCCCAACCGCTCAGGGGGTGGCAACGCGCACTGTGCGACAGGACGCTGAGCCAAGAGACCGCTGCCAACCAGGTGGCCCACGCCATCGCTGCCTCCTGAACCCCCCCACCCACCCCCCACCCCACCCCAACCCCAACCCCAACCCCAACCCCGGGCGGTCGAGGGGTGTGTGTGTGTGGTGGTGGTGGTGGTGGTGGTTGTTGGTTTGGATGGGCTTTTCCTTCAAGGCTCCGGTCGAAGGGACTCGGTTCGGATCGGGATGGCGCGAGGCTTTTGCGCCTTTTTTTTTTTTTTGGTGCTCCCCCGTCCCCCTCTCTCTCTCTCCCGCGCTCTCCTTTTCCCCCCTCTCCCTCTCCCTCTCTCCCGCTCCCCGCTGCTGCTGCAGCTGCTGCAGCCGCGGCTTCTTATCTCTGGCGTTTGGTGCCATCCTTCATGAGAGCCTTCCTTCCCCCCCTTATCTCCCACGACGCTCTCAGTTAACGAAGGCTCTGTAAACAAGAGTCTAATGGGGAGAGAGGAGGAGGAGGAGGGGGGGGGAGAGGGGGTCCCGCACCGCGCGCTCTCCAAAGGTCGACGGCTAATTAAGGACTTGGATGCAATTTCGCTGCCAATTCCTTCGCAAACTTGGGAAGAACTTTGCTCCGGCGGCGGGATCACAGGCCCCGTGAGCAACACTCCCGCGTGTGTGTGTGTGTGTGTTTTTTTTTCCTTTTTCATCTATTTTGCGTCCGCAAAATCTTCCTTTTTTTTTTGCTAAAGTGACAAGTGACACACAAGCGCTTTAGTTTCCAGCAAAGCGCAAAAGCCGCCCACCACCCCCCCCTCACCTGTGTGTGTTGGATCAGGAGCTCGGGATGCAATCGGATTTAATTGCAGGCCCTGACCCACACTTGCAAAATTATCATCAGTTCAACCCCCGCAATTTTTAACAGCCTCTGCAAAAAAAAAAAACTGCTGTCTGTTTTGTGTCAAAGCGATTTCCCACCAATGGCTCAACTCGGGTGACAATTCCCACGTAAAACCTATTCGGATCTGCCCAGAAAGTGCTTGTACTGTGACACACGCAAAATGCAAAATGCAAACAAAAAAACCCTTTCATACATATATATATATATGTGTGTGTATATATATTTGTATATGGATGGCCGACACCACGAATTCCTTCACTTCTCGTTTTAGGCAAAGAATCATCAGAGCCAAATTGGTGCGATCTCATGTTTTCTTCCAAATATTTGCTGTGGTCGAGAGTTGGATGAATGGTGGATGAGAGACAGTGGTTTGGGATTTACAGGGAATATTAAGCAAACTTCTCTTTGTAATAGCTAAGGAAATTAATGAAGCTGCAGCCTTGACCAGTGTGTACACACACATATATATAAAATGTATACATTATCTTACGTTTTCTTTTAAATAAATAAGATCACTTTTGGAAATGAATTGACATCCGCAAATTTCTAGAAGTGCCACAGATATTTAACATTGTACGTGTCAGTTAAGTTTAGGACAACGCAGGTTGGGGGTAAAGCCACATTCACTGGGTTGCTGAAGATAAGTGAAGTATGTGGAAAATGTGGTAAATCCAACCCACAGGCGAAGGACACCAGAAAAGTTCAAAGCACTGATGTAACTGCACACAACCCTTCCATAAGCATTCATCTTATTTTTTGTAGATTGCACCCAGAGAATAATGATATAAGATGTTCAACTTTTTTTTTCTCTAAAAATGCGCGGCAATCAAATGATTCCTTTCAGTGCCCATTAAAAACCTATTTTGAGGCAATTATGCATTAGGAAATGAGGAATATTCTGAAGTTTATATTGCTGTAGCCACTATAGGGTGAATATATATATATATATATTCATATGCTATGAATATTCCTGCCTGTTTTGTGTTGGAATTGGTAACAGATTTTTAATCTTCTTGACTTCCCTTATTCCAGTGTAAAACAGATTAATATTTGTTGCAGTTCTAAGTAGATAAGATAATCATTGAATATGTTCATTAGAATGTGACAGGCACTTCCGCTTAAGAACGTGTGCACATTATCACTGTAACTTGAAAAGCATTTAGAAAATGCACACACTAATTGATCCTCTAATACTCTGCATTGTTTCCAAAATTGCATACTTTTTGCTATGTATCTATTGAGCCGGTTGCAATGATGAGAAAGCGTTTCTCAATATATCTAGTTCACTTTAAGTTTAAGTTCTACGCATCACCCCATCGCCCTTTGCTGCTTTGCCATATCCCACAACTTTCCGTCAAATTTGAAATCTGCCCACTTATTTTTTTTCTATGCTTTAAAACAATTCCATGTTTTGCCATACTACTTAACATGCTATTCTATCCATTATTCCAGGTATACTTTCAATTTTCTCCTTGTTTTCTGTTCCCAGTGCAAGGGATATTATAGTGATACCTTCCATTATTTTAGAGTTACATGAATTTAACTTTTTGCCTTTTCGCTAAAGCTTCCCTGAAATACGCTTCTTGAATTGCTTGCTTTGTTTCTTATTATTTGAACACTTTCAAATTCCATGTCTTTCCTTAAACTTTTTGTCCAAAATTGTGCGACATAGAGAACTGCAACTAAAACCTTAAAATAAGTGCATTTTGTATTTTTTCACCATGGATTTTACAAATCCTAAAGTCCGCTTGGTATGTTTAATTTAACCTCTCAGTTCCTACCTAATATTCATCAACACTAAGAATTTTAAATTGTAAAATAGCTGCTTGGTGTAGTAAAGGCTTAATCATTCTGTGTAGGTATATCTTGAAACAGTTATATATGATGGTTAATTTGGTAAAATACTTATTTTTAAAAAATCCTTGCAATCAATTATAGCACTTACAACATCTCAAAGCTTCATAGTTACTTGTTATCAAATGTTTGACATTTGTAGGCGCATGGCATGACTAATTATTTCCATATCAGTGAAATGAATGACTAATTTATCTGCGATTTTTGGCTAGGACACTAGGAGAAATTTCCTCTCTTTCCAAATTGTGTCATGGATTTTTTTAAACAGTGTCATGGAAATTCAAACTTCCACCTGACCAGACAGAAAGGGTTTAGTTTTAATGGTTCATCCAAAGGATGGCACCTCTGACAAGGCAATACTCTGCCAAAATTATATTGGAATATCAGCTCAGGGAATGAGTTCAGGTCTCAATGTTGGGCTTGAACCCATAAGCATCTGCCGCAGAAGTGTGCAGTACTCCAGCACTGCTGATGACAGCGCAGCCAGTCTGGCTTATTGGCAGGACGTGGAAGGGCAGACCAGTTGGGGCTAGGATTTCTTCACACTTAGCTATTGTTAACCTGACTCTTCCACTTCAGGTCCTGAATGCCAAAGCCCTAATGGGTATAGTGGTCCTAGCTTGACTAGCAGTGGGAACTTTTGCCAGACTTTTAATGGCAAGCTACAGGGTTTTAGTTGGGTAGACTCGAGCAGTACCCCGACGCACACTCAGGGGTCCCCAAGCATTGGCTCTTGCACCTAAACTGTCCAGAATTAGGTAAGCAGTATGTGTTCCTCTGGGGAGAGAGCGTAAATTCCATCCCAGTAAATATTTCTGGAATTTCCATACATACATACATACATACAACAACAACAACAACAACAAGATTCCATTTATAAAGCGCCTTTCACATCAGGAGGACGTCCCAAGGCGCTGCACAGTTGGGTCATGACCCGAGCAGGGGGGAAATGGTCAGGGTGAGGGGAGGGAAGGGAGGGAGCGAGGAGGGGGAAGAGAGTCGAGAGGGGAGCTGAAGGCTCGGTCAAAGAGAAAGGTTTTGAGACCGGCCTTGAAGGAGGAAAGGGAGGAGGCGGCGAAGGCACTGGGGGATAGAGTTCCAGAGCCTCGGGGCTGAAAGGCTGAAGGCCCGACCACCGATGGTAGGGCAGGGGATGTGGAGCAGACCGGAGCCAGAGGAACGGAGGGTACGGGCAGGTAGGTAGGGGGATAGTAGGTCGGAGAGGTAGGAGGGAGCAAGGCCATGAATGGCCTTGTAGGTGAGGATGAGGATCTTGAATTCGAGCCAGTGGAGGCGAACGAGGGTGGGAGTGATGTGGTCCCGAAGTCTGGTGCGGGACAGTACACGAGCTGCAGAGTTCTGAATGACCTGCAGCTTGTGGAGGGAGGTGGCGGGAAGGCCGGCGAGGAGAGAGTTCCCATAGTCCAGCTTTGAGGTGATAAAGGCGTGGACCAGTGTTTCAGCAGCGTGAGGGGTGAGGTAGTGCCGTAGTCTGGCGATGTTCCGGAGGTGGTGGAAGGCGGTGCCAGTTGTGGTGCGGATGTGAGAGAGAAAGGACAGCTCAGGGTCGAACAAAACGCCGAGGTTCCTGACTGGCTCTGAGAGGTGGAGAGTGCAGCCTTGGATGCTGATGGTGTCGGCGTCTGAGGTGCGGAGGCGCTGACGTGAGCCAATCAGGAGGGCCTCGGTTTTTCGCACGTTGAGCTGAAGAAAGTTGTCTCTCGTCCAGGACTCGATGGGATACCTGGAAATCTGTTTGGTTTGGATACTCTTATGCATGGTGATGGGTTTCTGTATGTGTCAAACACCCGGCTGACCAAAAAAAACAGACCCAGAAGCAAGAGTGCTGCCAAGTGAGCCAAACAAATGCACTTGATACTGTGGGATAAATGTGCTACAAAATCCTGAGGTACACACTGTTTGAATTCCTGTTTGTTTAATCAAGGCTGCATTCGAAGAAGCATAATTTTTCCTCCTTAACATGTTCCTAGCAAACCCATTCATTTACCCCTGAATCACCAACCTTTGCATCTAGTTCTGAGAATATTTCCAAATAATTATAGTTTCAGCAAGTAATCACGGTTAAGGGGATCAATCCTGTAACCTTTTAATGAAAGGTGAGTGACATTAATGAGTCCAACGACTCTGGAAACGGAGTCCTGTAGCTCAGTGGTTAGAGCACTCGCTTTGCAAGCGAGAGACTTGAGTTCAATTCCAGGCAACAACAACAACAACAGGGCGAAACCTTGGGCAAGTTTCCTTACTCCACACGCCTAATAATAATCCCTCCAAAAAACCAAAAAGAATAATAAATTGATCATTTT